AGTTCTTTATCCACCAATTGGTCCACCTATCAAATTAATGTCTTTCCAATTTAGAGATAAGGATGTCGTGTGGGACAGTGTTGAAAGCTTTACACAACTCCAGGTAGATGACATCAACTGCTCTCCCCCTGACCATCAGGTCTATGGCTCCATCATAGAAAGCCACTAAAACTGTAAGGCAGGATTTCCCCTTGGTGAAGCCGTGCTGGCTGTCACCAACCACCTTGTTGTTTTTCATGTGCCTTAGCATGCTTTCCTGGAGAATCTGCTCCAAGATTTTGCTAGGCACAGAGGGGAGACTGACTGGTCTGTAGTGCCCTGGATCATCAATTTTCCTCTTCTTGAAAATGGGGATCATATTTCCCATCTTCCAGTCATCAGGAGCATCACCTGACTGCCATGATTTTTCAAATATAATGGACAGTGGCTTAGCAACTTCATTTGCCAGCTCCTTCAGGACCCACAGATGGATTTCATCAGGTCCCATGGACTTGTACGTGTTCAGGTTCTTCAGACGGTCTCACACCTGATCCTCTCCTACAGTGGGGCTAGGGTCTTCATTCTCACAGTCCCTGCGTCTGCCTTCCAAGACTTGGGTGGTGTAGTCAGAGCATTTGCCAGTGAAGACGGAAGCAAAGAAGTCATCCAGAACCTCAGCCTTCTCCAAACCCAGGTTAGCCAGTTCTCCTGATAGCTTCTGGAGAGGGCCTACATTTTCCCTAATCTGTTTTTTATCTGCTATGTACCTGTAGAATCCCTTCCTGTTATCCTTAATATCCCTATCCAAGTTTAGTTCTAACTGGGCCTTAGCTTCCCTAACCTGGTCCCTAGCTTCCGGAACAACATCCCTGTACTCTTCCCAGGCCTCCTGTCCTTGCTTCCACCTTTTATAAGGCTCTTTTTTCTTTCTAATTTTCCTCAGCAACTCCTTATCCACCCAAGGAGGTCTCCTGGCCCTCCTGCTGCGCTTCCTTCTAGTTGGATGCAACACTCCTGAGCTTGCAGTAGATAATCTTTGAATAACATCCAACAGTCTTGGGCCCCCCTGCCCTCTAGGGCTATATCCCATGGAACCTCATTAAGCAATTTCCTGAAGAGGCAAAGTCTGCTTTCTTGAAATCCTGGGCAGCGAGCTTGCTGCACGCTCTTCTCACTGTCCTGAGGATCTCAAATTCGACCACCTCATGATCGCTGCAACCAAGGCTGCCCTGGAGCATCACATTTCCAGCCAGCCCTTCCCTGTTGGTGAGCACAAGGTCAAGCATGGCACCTCTCCTTCTCGGCTCCTCTGTTACTTGCAGAAGGAAGTTGTCTTCCCCACAATCGAGGAACTTCCTATATTGCTTGCACCAGGCCGTACCGTCATTCCAGCAGATAGCAGGGTGGTTGAAGTCACCCATGAGAACGAGGGCCTGCAAGCGTGAGGCTGTTCCTATCTGCTTATAGAGTGTTTCATCCACAAAATCCTCTTGATCAGGCGGTCTGATTCCCACAGATCCCCACAGTAGTACTCTGTAAGACACTGTAGGACACTTTGGTGCTTAAATAATTAATAAAATGGGTGAAGGCTGCACTGGCCAACTCCACGGGCCAGGATCATCATCTTTGCTCCTTCCCTGTCCCACAAGTAGTCAGTGATCGACCTGAGCAGTGCTCATGTGCTGCAGTTGGGATGTGGCCATGGGGTTGGAATTCAGCCCTGCCCAGCACATCCTCCAGCAGTGTCCATCACAGGAGAGCCTGTGCAAGAACGTCCACCCCACACACAGCGAAGTCTGTGAGGGCAGCACAAGATGTAGTGCCAGCAGCATGTGTCAAGGGCTGCCTGCTTCAGGAGGGGTCTGCAACAGCTCCGCGCCTTGAACTCACGTGTCCCTGCCTGCATTTGCACGCACATCTCATGCACGCAGCAGCTCCCCCTGCACCCCACTGCCATTCTCCTGCTGGCAGCTCCCCCTCCCTGCTAGCTTGCAGGGTCCCACATGACAGCACCGGCATGTGACCCTGGCTCCAGCTGCAGCTGCCAACATCTGGTATCCCAAACCAGCTCCATCCCCAGACCGTCTTCCCACCGTGCCAGATGGGGATCAAGGGACTCACTGGGAGGAAGTGGGTAAAAAGCTTGGTTTGGGCAGCAGGATCCAACAGGATGCCGGGTGCAGGCTGCTCCCCGCAGTGCACTGAGCGTGGGCACGCTGTGATTCTGTGGTTCCATGACTGATTTCTTATACGTGGCCGTGTTTCCCCCAGCTTGGGGAGCAGCCCGAGACACCTTGGTCAGCACTGGCACAGGCTGTGCCAGCTGGCAGCACCAGACCAGGTGCCCTGCAGCCACCAAAGGGTCAGAGTGAGTGCCCAGAACTTTGCTCCCTTGCTCGAGCCCATCCTGCCCGCAGCTGCAGAGAGACTGAAAGAGCTGCTCTGCCAGGGCAGGGAGCCTACCTGAGGACAGCTGTGGTGCCCCAGCACCCAGTGCCAGCCCCCATGGCCCCTCCAGCCCTGGGAGCTCAGAGCAAGTGGAAATCACTTGTCTGACAAAGCCACATGTGATCACAGTGAATACAAAGAGACTGGGTCAAAAAAAAAAGTCAAGAAATGTATTTACAAAACAACAAAAAAATAAAGAAAATAAACAACAAAGAACAACTGTTCTTGTAAAAAATACAACTCTTCTACCTAAAACTACAACTATTCTACCTAAAAGTGCAACTTTTACTCTTAAAACTATACCTATTCTATCTAAAACTAACACTCTTATGGAAAAATGGAACAAACTTCTAAAACGACAACAATCTTCAGTGAGAACAGGAACTCTTGTAAAGGAAACTTCTTCAAACACCATGAAAACTCCCATCTCCACCAGCCCTGGAAACAAGCAGCACAAGGTCATTGCAGTGAGGCTCCTGATGGTCATTGTTTGCCACATGCTGGGGAGAGCAGGACTCTGCCATGGGGTTCAGCCCTGGCTGGGGCTGGGAGCCGGACTCTGATCAGACTGAGCTTGTGTGTCCCAAAGGGAGCACAGGGCAGCACGGTGGTGGCACTTGTGTTGCCAGGATGAGGCCACTGCCACCATGTCCCTGCAGCCAGGCCGTCACGAACAGCCCCAGCCCCAGTGTGACAGCAGTCGACCCCCCCTGACTGCCAAGCAGAAAAGTGCATTGGTGCTGCCCGGATCAGTGGAGCGCAGATGTGGGACAGGGGTCTGGGCACCCCGGTCCCCTCTCGTTGCCTGAACAGAGCCATGGGGCACTGGGGACCCGGGCACATCCCCAGCAGGAGCTGGCGGGAGGCCGGGGGCTCCTTGTCCAGCAGCACCCACCAGCTCTGACAGGCTGGCTCCTGCAGCTGGAGGATCCTCTGCTTCCTGCGCTTCAGCGCCTTGCGGGGCGGTAAGGGCTTCAGGACCTGCCAGAGCAGAGAGGACAGGGGTGAGCAGCCGTGCTCCCTGCCTGCGGGGCCAGGGCACAGACCCAGCCCCGCACCTGCCTCCGCACCCACCAGGTCCTTACTCTATGAAGGCAGCCCTTTGCGTCCTCACCTCCCCAAGGGCTGAGCTTGGCCACGAGCAGGACAAAGGTGGTCTTCTTTTGGGGCTGCATTGCGGGTACCAAGATGGTATCCAATAAGCAGCAAGCAAAGAAATGGGAGTGGGGACAAGCAGAAAGGGATGGGAGCAGGGCAGAAGAGCAGAAGAGGAGCAGGCTAGAAGGGACTGGTGTACGCAGGTAGGAGCAAAGTGTGGGTTCAGGGGTGAAGGTCTGTGCTGTTGCCTGGGTACGGGCAGTTGCCGCTGTGATGCAGGCTGTGACATCACCCCAGAATTCCAGAACTACTGTGAGCAGGGGATGGGGATGAGCTCTGAAGGGGCTGCAGCTCCATGGGGGACATTGGGCAATCGTTACGTGACCCGCTGAGATGACAGAGACACGCTTTATGGAATCATAGAATAGTTAGGGTTGGAAAGGACCTTAAGATCATCAAGTTCCAACCCCCCTGCCATGGCCAGGGACACCTCACACTAAACCATGCCACCCAAGGCTTTGTCCAACCTGGCCTTGAACACTGCCAAGGACAGAGCATTCACAACTTCCCTGGGCAACCCATTCCAGTGCCTCACCATCCTATCAGGAAAAAACTTCTTCTTTATATCCAATCTAAACTTCCCCTGTTTAAGTTTGAACACATTACCCCTTGTCCTATCCCTACAGTCCCTTTCTACTGTATCAGGCTGTTCAGCTACCTGGGAAACATTGCTGTAAAAGGACAAAATTAGATTTTTACACAATGTGTGACAGAACCATAGAATTATGTAGTCTGGAAGGGACTTCTGAAGGTCCTCTTAGGGCACCCCATCTACCCCAAGTTGGACTGCTGTCATAGTCAATGAGGTTTCTCAGGGTTTTCTCCTGAAAATTTCCAAGGATGGAGACTCCAAAACCTCTCCATAATCCTGTGCCAGTGTATGGCCACTTCTGATGACTTTTTTCCTTAAATCTAGTTGGGATTTCCTTTGTGACAGCCTCATTCTTTTATTGTGTACCTCTGAGAGTAGTTTGGCACAGTCCCTCTTATCATCACATCATTAGGTAGTAAGACAATTGTATCGAACACAGTTCAGTTGGTAACTCACCACATTCATCAAGGATCTGACTATTGCAGAGGATTCAAATTTCTTGTTAGAGTTTCCAGTCTTGTTGCTTACATTCAAGATTCTTTAAGAAAAAGGAAAAAAATTAACAAAAAATTTTAATCCATTAATAGGGTGACTGGACAAAAATAAATTCTCTGTTCATATTTGCTCTAGCTCATCTCTCTATTCCCGGAGGCTTTTCTCATTTATATAATATAGTTAATCAATTCAGGATACTAGCTATACAAATTGTGAGTATAACTGGGACAAAATTGGAAAGACACAGTGAGCAGTATGGTGAATATGTGACTATTCTTATGTGAATATGAAAAATAATTGTTCCATTTTATATTTTTCTTTTAATCTTCCAGACTATGTTTTTCCACACACAAAGTTACTATTCTCAATTTTATGAAAATGAGTATGTCCAGGACATTAAATGAAAACGTAAAGTAACTTTGGTACCTTTTAACTAGTAGTTTTTGTGTTAATATTCACTAATACTCATTTTCTAAAGAATATCAACTTTCACCTTGGGCAAAGGAGTTGTAGTACTCCAAACATCTTTGTGTAAGCATTGGAAAATTACAGTTTGGATACTTATTTTTAATATACCTCAATTTGCTTCAGCCTAATGTCTGTAGGCAATTCATGATCACTTTTTTGTTTGTTTTTGTTGATAATATTTCTGTTAATATGCACGTAAATGTTCAAAATGAAATCAGAATCTATTAGGTGAATGTATTTGAATGATACCCTGTTAAGATACCTTTATAAAGAAGTGCAGAGTGTGACTTCAGGACCTGATCATTTTCTGGATAGATCTTGCATTATTTTAGTTCTATTTTAATTCTGACCATCCCTATAACTCAAGATACAAGCTGTTCTGATTGTAATAAATATATTCCTTTAGGTATAAAAGTAATGTTTAAAAACTAATTCATAAAATAAGCATATAATGATAACATCTTTTTTTATTCATTCTTAAAAAGTGTAATTGTCCAAGATTTTCTGCATAATCCTTTAAACCCAAGTTCGGGGTTTTTTTGTGCAGGTTATGAGTCACGAGAAGGTGCTATCTTTGCTATTGGAAGTTTTAGATCAAAAGAAATTTGAATTTTACATTATTTAGTATTTGTATTCTGGTAGTCAGACATGCCACAGTCAGAAGGACTGTGGGTGCCTGTCATTCTCCTCTCTGTCTTCTAAGAAGGAAGTGGAAGTCAGTCAAGCCATTTTCCAAGTGATGGCTAAACCACAGCAGAGAGCAGAATAGATAGTTTGCTCAAAAGGAAAAAAAAAAAAAAAGAAAAAAAAAGAAAAATACCTAATTTATAATTCTCTGGCTGGGCTGAAGTAGCGTGCATGTGGTGTGACATGAAGTCAGTGAAAATAGGTCTGGGTTGCCTATTGAGTGCTGTTGAACTGAAATTCATTAGATGATGAACAATTTTGTTGTAGAAAGGCCAAAGTCTGTAATTATCACTCAACTGGTGAAAAAAAGTTTGGTTTTGTCCAGTTATATCTTATTAAGAGATCACACATGTTTTGTTGTTTTGTTTTGTTTTGGTTTGGTTTGTTTTGGTTTGGTTTGGTTTCTTTTATCTTAATGTAGCACAAAGCTCCTAGAAATTGAAAATAAAGTGATAGTGTTTTTTCTGCATTCGAAGCTGACTTTCAGTACTCTGTGCTGGGTGTACTGCTGTCCTGGTTTAACCCCAGCCAGCAACTGAGCACACAGCACAGTACTAGCTACTAGGAAGAAAATTAACTCTATAAGAGCTGAAACCAGGACAAATTCTGACAGTATTTTACCTTGTGTTAATAATTAAGCATTCTCTGCAGTGGAATCAGGACCCTAACCTTCCTCATTCATAATCATTTTCATTCTGAATAATTTTCTGTGAAACCAACAACACTATATTGCAAAAAAAAAAAAAAAAAAGGCCTTTTTGGATATAGTTTTATTTTGGGGTTTTTTTTCTACAATAAAAAAAAACCAAACCAAAACAAAACAAACCCAAAATCTCACCAAAACAGGACAGTGGAGTATGAACTAGTAAAGACTATAATACAATGTCCATATAGACATTTTGTTTCTCTGGTTTTTTTTTCTCTTATGACCAGCAGGATGCAGGTCTGCTTGTTTGCCTGGCTTATGGCAAGTATGCTTTTAATTTAGGATTTTCTGAAGTAGCACTTGGCTTGCTCTAACTTGGTTTTTGCTTGCCTATTTTTTAGTCTGACTGCTAAACTGAAAAAATGATTTACACAGTCCTTCTGATAGAATGATATATTCCCACAGTTAGTTGCACATATTCCCCTAAAGTAATGCAAAACCATTACACACTAAGATAATGAGATTAAAAAAATATATATTTCCTTATATTAAAAAAAATACCATATTTCAGTTTGTATTTCAAGCAATTTGTACCCATTTTCTCTCATCCTGCCACTGGGCACCACTCAGAAGGGCCTGGCTCCACCTTCCTTAGTCTCCCCTCAGCTATTTATACAGACCAATAAGATTTCCCTGAGCCTTCTGCGCTAAAGGCTGAACAGTCATAGTTCTCTTAGACTTTTCTTACTTGAGAGATGTTTCAGTCCCTTCGTCATCTTAGTAGCCCTTTGCTGGACTTACTTTGTTACATCCTTGTCTGTCTTGTGCTGGGGAGCCAAGAACTGAACACAGATGTGGTCTCAAAGACCTATATATTCTTTTATTTTCCTTCCCAGGGGACTAAATGCATATCTGTAGATTGAACCAGGGACACCAAAAAACTGAGGAGGGAAGAGGAGAGAAAGGAAGGAATCCTACATATCTAATCAGTGGGCTTTATTTGGATGACTGAACACTTTGCATGAAGGATATTTGGCTATTTTTTAAAAATATACAGAAAATTAACATGCACTCACTCCTACATTTGATTAAAGCTTGGATTAGAACTTTAATACACTGAAATGAACTAACGCAAAAGGTGAGCTTGCATAATATGACAGTAGTAGGTTTTCCCTGAGGAAAAAGTCAAAAGTACTGGAATATTTAAAAGAGATAAGAAGACTGAGAGTTGTGAAAGAATATGAAGAAAGATTTTCCTTAACATAAGAACAGAAATAATAGGGCAATTTCAAATACCGATGTCTGTTTTCTTCATCTAAATGACAGATTGTATGCCACTTTTCAAAATTCTGATTAAACTGTTGAGTATTGAATTTGATCTGGCTGTAAGATTCTAACTTTGCTGTGTTAGTAGTGCTGTGCAGCAGGATACACATTGAGAATGCATGTCTGTAGGACAGATAGAAAGTGATCTAAGCATTAGATGAGCCTTGGTAGCCAAAAGGTTTCTTTCTCATCAGGGAAGTCTGCTGGATTATCAGTATTTTCAGCGGTGGAGAACGCTGATTTCCTGCCGAGTATATACTAGCTGGTCTTCTGTCCACAAGACTCTTGCTATAAGAGGTTGTATTTCCATGTGCAATATTTGGGTTCAGACATGGAGTTTCCATACCTTGAGTTTGAGATCTGTCTGTGCTTTCTGCCAGCAACATGTCAGGGGCTTATGTCTGAATCATAGAATCATTGAATACTTTGGGTTTTAAGGGACCTTCAAAGGTCACCTATTCCACTCCCTTTCTTGCAATCAGCAGTGACATCTTGAACTAGATCAGGTTGCTCAGAACCACATCCAGCCTGGCCTTGTATGTCTCCAGGGATGAAGCACCCACCACCTCTCTGGGCAGCCCATGCCACTATTTTACCACCCTCATTGTAAAGAATTTTTTCCTTGCATCCAGCTTGAATCTCTTCTCTTTTAGTTTAAAACCATTATCCCTTGTCCTGTCACAACAGGACCTGCTAAAATGTCTCTTCTCATATTTCTTATAGGCCCCTTATAAGAACTGAAAGGCCACAATAAGGTCTCCCTGGAGTCTTCTCCTCTCCAGACTGAACAACCCCAGCTCTCTCAGCTTTCCTCACAGGAGAGGTGCTTCATTCTTCTGATCATTTTTTGTGGCCCTCCTCTGGACCCTCTCCAACAGGTTTGTCTCTTTCCTGTGCTGAGGACTCTGGAGCCAGAGGCAGCACTCCAGGTAAGGTCTCACCAGAACAGAGTAGAGGGGCAGAATCATTTCCTTCAACCTGCTGACCATGCTTCTTTGGATTCAGCCCAAGATAAGATTGCCCTTCTGGGCTGCAAGTGCACACTGCTGGCTTACAAAGGTGCAGTAAACAACAGTGGTTAGATACTGCTAATTATTCTTTCCTTCTGCTGAAAAAGGGGTTTTATTCTTTTATCAGTCTGTTGTTAGAGTCAGAAATGAATATGTGCCATTTGGGCGGAATGTATATACATACACCTGTTCCATTTGCTGCAGACCTTTTATAGTATAAGTTTAATTCAGTGAACAGCTAGAGGCATTTGATTAAAATTCTGATGTTTACTTTTAAGTTCACATGCCAGATAGGTGATTTTTTTTGGGTGTGAATTCTGAAGATATTAGCATTAGTTCTGGGGATACTATTGACTTCTAATGGGAGGTGGACATCTGTTATACATGTGCTCTGTGTTGTCACAGCATTAATCATTTAGTCTTAAAGTTACTAATAAGATAGTCAACTTGTCAAGTAACTGATGCTGATAGAAAATATTATTTTGGAAGTGTGGGTGAGATGACAAATTTATGAAACAGGTAGGTCTGCAAGAAAATAGAGTGAACCAGTTTTATTTATCACAGATAATTTTTTCTCTTTCAGAGCTGGAGCAGTATACTATGAATGCAAGACCTTGGCTGGGCTACAGGATTTTAGGCAACAGGATCAAGGTGTGGCTGAGGGTTTTTCCAGTTGGAAGCACTGTGATAAACGGAAAGAAGGCAAACTAAACTGCAAATTCAGTCTTGCAGATGTGCTTTGGAAGTCAGAAGATGGCAGTCTTTACTCACTGTTGAAGTTACTGCATTGCTTGCCCTCATGATGTGAACACTTGCAAAGTTAATAAAATGAATATGTATCTTTCCCAGTATTTTTAGTTGTTAAATTTTAATTTGAAGTGCATCTTGATAATGCAAAAATAACAGCTTTTTATTTTTTTCTCAGAAATCATTCATGATGATGGCAACAAAAACATCACTTAATATTCACTGATTCAAACATGAACGAAGAACATTTTTAGTGTAAAGAAAGTTCTAAAAACTGTCTAAAACATCTAAAACAAAGGCAGAGATGAGCATTGACAAATGTGTCCAACAGAAGGATTGACAGAGGCTGCTCAGCAATTGTGTGTGCCCAGAGGCACCTAAACCTCAGGATCTGATTGCATTCTCCTTCTGTTCATGTCAAAAATCTCCTCATGTAAGCAATAAAGAATTTAATATCTTTTCAGGCCACACTGGGATCCAGAAATTAGAAAGAAATGGGTCACCATTCCCTAAGGCTTGATCCAATAGGTGAATGTTGAACATGCCTGGTATGCACAGTAGAGTCTGTAACGTTAGCTGCCCGTCATAGCCAGCTGACAAGTGCATATCCATGGACAAATTTAGCCTTAAGTTGCCCTGACACTGAGGAAAACTGGGTTTTTATCTTACCTGTCCTACAATGCAAAACAAGGAGGTACAAGCAGCTCTACCCCTGATGATTAAACTATCATCCATATGAATTTTTGTCCTGGGGCAACTTTCATGAGAAGCTTTAGAAAACTAATTGTGATGAAGCAAAGTGCATACATTTCTTGCAACAAACTTTGGAAAGTAAGAAGCCGCCCTACCACCTGGCCTTATCCAGTAGGACATAAAGACACATTCATTTTCTGACTGCCCTTCTGGCACAGAAATATTCAGTGCTTTCTTTGCAGATAGCAACACGTATCCTATTCTTGTCTAGTTGCCAGTTTCTCTTATAATGCAAAAGATTCAATTAGGAAGGAAATAGAATTTGGGTATCTTGTACTTCAGATGAGACCCCTGACCATCAGACTACCATAGCACCCTATATATATGTAGCTATATAAATATATAAATATTATATAAAATTATACAATGAATAAGTATATAACACATATAAAATATATGTAAAATTAAATATAAACATATAAATATATTTTATATATAATATAAATATATTATATATATTCCTATATATACAGCTATACAAATATGGCTATATAAAACAAAACCTTTACTTTTTATGAGAGGGATTAGTGTTTGGACACTGGGGAACCATGTGAGTGAGTCCCTTGCAGCAGATACATTATGTGCTGCCAGCACTTATGTTGGAGGGTTCCTTTTAGTCACAATTTTGTGTATGTACTGTAAATCTCACAGTAACCCCTTGAGGACACCATGGGTGAGCTTTAAATAGCTTCTTTCCTGGGGGAATCAAGTCTGAAGAGATGCTTGACTTCATCTAGCGCAGAACAGATGCGTCAGAGACCCTTGCTTACAGTAGGAAAGCAAACCTCTCCCACAGCCAGCCCTCCAAGTATGTGCCACGCATGCCTACGACCGTCAGTGCAAGCTTCAGTGCTAGTCAAGACATGATGTGGCTGTGCAGTCCCGTGATCAGAGTAGCCACATCGTATGCAACTTTGATCCTTCCTTCTTGTACTTCACCTATCAGTAACATACAAGTACCTGTCTTCCTGAAAACAATTGGTTTTCATCTCTTAAAAAAAAAGTTTTTCTCTCTTTGTCCTGTCCATTATACACAATTATTACATTTTATTTTTTTCGTTCCTGACATATGTAAGTACAAACAGATAAGAGTACATCCAAGCTCTTGGTTTTGCATTTCTGGCTGGCATCCAAGTAGTTGCAAACTTAGGTTTAAAAGGGTTTGCATTTTAAAGGGTTGTTGATTCTCATCCTAGTTAACATGAACCAAATTTTTAATTTGTAAGCCCAGATCTGTAAAGACTTGATTACAAGCTTAGTTTTAAATACAGGAAGACTTCTAAGTGAAATGGGCTAAAAAGGTTTAACTAAACCTTTAGGCCTTCTTCAAGCTTATAGACTCTGATTTGCAATGTACTGAATGAATAGCGATTAAAATTCAGCTCCATTGACTTCAGCAGAGACACACTAATTTTAATCAACCAAAAATCCCAGACATCAGATGTCTGGTTGGTTTTTTTTTAATCAGTGTAATATTAAGTATTAAGGAGTTTTCTATGCCTAATGTTGAGAAAATGAACAAGCATACCTTAGTTACATAAGTAATATTTTGATTATTAAAATTACCTATGCTAACTAATAATAGCACCATGGATCTTATGACAGCTTAGCTTTGCTTGCAAATGAAAATGGAAAGATAATAACTTTAGGCTTGTTATTGTAAATTTGAAGTTAGGAAAGCAATACTTTCTTAACAGTCCTGTTAAGGCTTATTATCAACATCAGAAACATTGTACCTAATGCTTTGTCTAAAGACATTTACAGTGTTTCAGTTGTAAATATTTGTAAATATTAAGTAGCAGCATTATCCTTTTTTTTTTTTTCTTCTTCTTCTTTTTAAATCCAACTTGAAGAATCCAGAAAAACTCTGTTAATTGTTATGCAAATATTTTATAAAAAATAGGATATCTATTTTCGAGAAATCTTTTTTTAACAGGGAAAGCTAAGATGCAATAGGCAATATTTGAAACCAGAAGATTAGTAGCATAAAGGAAAAACAAAGAATGTTCAGTGGAAAATGTATGTTTAAGTATATTATTTAACTTTTTTTTTTAATATGTTTTATTGAAAATGGAAAACAACAACAACAAAGCCCCCGGATTTACCTGATTAGGTAGTCTGGTACCATACTGATAAACAGTGTATAAACATGGTGATAGGTCTGAGATTAGAGAGACTGATTTACCAGTTCATTGCTCACTCAGTCTTTATGCTGGTGAAACTCTATTGATGTAACTGTTTTATTTAGAAGTGTTGTGTGTGCAGTAGGTGTTCAGGAGTTGTAAATTAAAAGATTATTGCTTCATTTGAATTATTAACCTATCCTTTGAAACCTCTTATCACTCCCCAAAAAATATTATTGTCTAATTTCAGAGAATGCCAAAGTGTAGAAATTTTAGAGAATAACTGTTCTATTTCTGGATGAATGTCAGCTGAAAGACTGGTCTGCCAAGGACTCTGACACTTTCCATGTCTCTTAAACCAATAGATTAAGTTGAGATGGAAGCTGCAGAGGAACTGGTTTCATACAGTGAGGGTTGGGTGTTTTTTTAGGTTGTCTGTGTATCTAACAGAAGGGAAGATGGGAGTCTTCATTCATGAAAGATTATAACTGGACTAATAATGTCCAGTAAGACCCACGTTTTTCATCATTTTAATGAATGTTTCATGAAAGCTGCTCTTGCGGTTATTTCCGAGCTTCTTTTAACAGGCATTTTTAATAAATTTACACATATTTTTGCACACATTAATTTTTTAAGTCTCACTTAGCACTTAAAGTTTCTTATGTGAGAAGAAAATTTTTATCTAACTGCATACCTTCTGTGATAAATATGACAAAATAGACAGATGAAGGCAAAGCACAGCTCTTCTTACTCATCTATGTAAAAAAAAAATGTTATACAATTCCTACAAGGTGATTTGTAGGTAAGTCCTTACTTGAGATTACCTAGTCCTGCAAGGCAGATCCTAAATCATTGTTGTGACTTTGACCTACAGAAGTCACAGAGGCACAGAGCAGACAAGAGAGTGACTTCCAGAAGTGGTTCACAGATTAATGATTTTCTCCAGTACCAGAGCCTGCATCTGCAAAATTCACATGCCATTTTGCATATACTCCTTAGAGTTCAGAGTTGGGTCAAAATTCAAATCTCTGAGTGAGAACAGCAGTGGAACTCCAGCCTGTAGAAGGACAGATATTGTTGCAATATTTAGCAGAAAAAAAATTGTTCAGGTCTAACTAGCATTAGACAAAAATTTTGCCAGCCAACATACATAAGGAAAGGTCAATAGACTGACAAAATACCAGTGTTGTATTTGCAACAAAAGAATAGAGTTTCCATTACAATGACAATATTTTTGAATCAGTATTTACAGGTCTTAGCTTGTTCCAATAAAATAGCTTTGAAATTAACTGCCACTATGTAATATCTTAGTTGATGGCTTTAATTCCATAATTTATGTAACTTTTCCCCCAAAGTGATTTAGAACATGTTTTAGAGCATAATTTAGAGGATTAAACTCATTTGTCTAGTAACTACAGAAAGACTACAATTTTCCCACTCATCTCTTCTATTGTATTGTATCTTGATGTGTTTTAAAGGCATTGGTGTTAAAAACACAGCAAGAAAAATGCCTTTGTGTTTCAAAAAAAGAAACGGGATCCTCAAGGCAATGAGACTTCTTTCTTCAGGTAGCTGATCCACACCTTGTCCATGCACAAAACTAGGCAAATTTAGCCATCGTTTGCCTTGCCTGCTTCAGCTGGAAGGGTTTTATGTTGTGGTTTACACTCAGCCATGCAGTCTCTCTCTCACTCCTTCTCTTCCTCCTCCCCGCTCCTGGAAGGATGAGGAGGAGAACTGAAAGAATGTAACTCCCACGAGTTGAGATAAGAAGAGTCCAGTAACTAAGGTATAACACAAACCACAACCCAGAAAGATCACAGTGTGCAGACTATATTCAGATTTATTTACAAGTTAAGAAAGTCAGCTTTACACTGACTGGAAAATCAGAACTGATTATATTTACAACTGCTGTTTAAACTCCAGGAAACATTTTCCAGTAAAAAAAAAAAAAAAAAGGGAATCAGAACAGATATATTCCTATTGTAAGAAATCCTCAAAGGAAAAGAATATGGGTATTTATTGCACACTTCTGGGAGGAAAAAAACCCTAAAACTCCAAAACCAAAACCTAGTAACCTTCTGGGCAAACACGTGCCTTTTAGATGAACAAATTCACTCTCTTAATATGAATTTCAAACAACACATAGGCAGAAGTTTAACTAAAATTAAGGTATAATACCTGCTTACCAAACAAGGTACTCAAATGTGTATTTGATTT